CATTCCACACCATGCAAAAACCTTTCCACATACGGGAGCAATTTCGTGAGGTTAATGTAACACCCCAACTCGTACCCGACCCGGATACAAATCCAATATGTCACATTAACTTTTAAAAACGATATTCTTATAAAATTTCAAAACATTTGAACTTATATTAAGAAAATCGATCATATATTGTTGAATTGTGTTCGTTATAACCAATTTAAGAAAATATACGTTTTATGAACAGTGCTGTGAACAGTAATGAACAGTAATGAATAGTGTCGTGAACAGTGCTACAATGACTTTCGTAAAACTTTCATAAAACTTGTAAAAATTTAACCGTTCGTTACTATACATTTACATAAATACGTTTAAAACATTACAAAACTTGATCATAGCATAAATACTTAATTTACCAACTTGTTTACATGCCAACCTATTTTATCGTAATAAGACATACTATTTAATCTACTTCTGATCTGACCTTCAAGGGGAGTTATGTTGTTTTGCTGAGCTTATAATGGATCTCTCTGCTTTTGGTACCTACGTATAAAACACTTACACGCTAAGTCATAGACTTAATGAGGCATAAACATAATATTGATGCATTTTTCATAAATATAAACATGCAATTTATGAATTCAATCATATCACATATGATTCAGTATATATAATAACAACATAATAACATATGATAATGTAAACACTTTTATCATATAAGCATACACTGAACTTTTCTATACATACCATGGAACACATATATTATTTTACAACAGAGCACAATAGAGCACGCATAGTATCATATCAATTGATTTATTTATTCTCTTTAAAGACCATGTATTAGCCCATGTATACTTTTGAGAACTTAAGGTGTGTGAGTACATTGAGGTTGTGCACAATTATGATGTCACCACAGCTTGTATAAATATCCCGAAAGACCAGTCCATAGATTCCAAAGAACCTAGGTAAACATCCCATATGTCCCGAAGAACATAGGTAAACAGTCCATATGTCCCGAAGAATATAGGTAAACCATCCATATGTCTCGAAGAACATAGGTAAACAGTCCATATGTCTCGAAGAACATAGGTAAACAGTCCATATGTCTCGAAGAACATAGGTAAACCCTCGACTCTTGGCATGCCAACTATATCACTAGCTCTCATATCACCTAACATGGACATTATCATTTATATCATTTCATCCATTCACATGCACATTTCACTTTTCATATGATTTCATAATCATATGTCACTTTGCTTATAACACTTCTCTTGTGTTCATATGACATGTAAATCATTGTCATCTCTTGTTCTTATAAGATTCTCATACATCACATATATCACATATTCATATAGGCTCACGATTTTTATCATCTATCATGACATTTCACATAAATCATGTAACTCATATACTTTTCATATAACCATTACATACATACACACATACATGTCATCATTTATGTTTTTATCATACTCCTATAGTATTATCCTTCATCTCTCTTATCTCTTGTTCATATGATCTCTTACATTCATACAATTTCTTATGTTATCACATAAACATATAATCTTACAGTACATACAAAAACACATCAATACATATAGTCATGTAAATCACTTTTGCATAGCTTATATCAACTTTTCATGTCATTTCACACGTCTTGTTACATTGCTTATACCTTACTCTTATGTCTTCTCATATACATATATTCACATATACATATCATTTCATTATCCTTATTGTTATTCTTATCATCACCATTAATCCCTTTTACTTACCATATTCATATCAATAACACATATAAATCATAGCAAACACATACTTCTATGAATTCATGCATTTTACTATTGGAAATAGACTTATCACAAGTCTTATTTTCCATTGAACAACATATACTAAATAATGTGCACTCACCTTAGCCTTGCTTTGATTCGATCCTGATTCTTTGATTGTTCCGAAACTTGTTTAGGCTCAATATCTTTTCTTTGGGCATTTCACGTTGGAGAAGAAGAATGAATGAAGAATGAAGGGTGAATAGATTTATGGAGAAATCTCTCAACCTTATCCCCATATATATCATTATTTTATTCATTTCTAAGTCCAATGACCATTTTGCCCTTTAATTCATTTAATAATTATTAACAACTTTTAGGATTTATTTCCAAATAAACCATTGAACTATTCAACTATTCTACTTTAATCACCATATTCTGAAATTATATAATTTAGTCACTAACCTGTAGTTTGGGATGTAACAGTTAAAGTTTCCAATATGAGTTCTTTATGCTTGTACTTTGACCGGAGAAACCTAACCCACAATGCATCTCTACAACAACAACAACAACAACAACAAAACCATATTCCATATGCAATGGGTAATGGGGAGGTAGGGTAGTAGGCTGCCCCCAACGCCAGGTTGAGAGCAGCTTCCGTGGAAGACCTCCAGCAATCAAAAAATTAAAAATAAATATAAAATACAATGCATGTATAAATAAATAAATAAATAAATACATAGTTGAACAGTCTTCTTATGCAGTCTTCATATGCGCGTCTGTAATGAGAAGTAATCACTGCAAATAAATCATTGCGTAAAAATCTCTGCATATAGACAGAAACGTAAGACCTGAATAAATTTAAAAAGAGGAAACATGAAGAGAATGATACAGAGAAGATAGCGATAGCAAGCTACGAGAATGAATAAAGTCAAATGGGTTAAAACCAAAACTAAGGCAACGCTACTCCGCTACCCTAATTCTAAGCCTTCATAAATTCCAATGACAGAAACGTATAAAAAGTAGAAGTCATGGAAATTACTACAAAGACATTAAAAAGAAGACAGAGATGCTACACCCTATGGCTGTGACCCACACTACTCGGCTACCCTAGTCTTAAGTCTCCATACTTTCCTATCAGAGGTCATGTCCTCGGTAAGGGCTAAATCCTTCAAATCAAATCTCAAGCAGTCTACCCACTTCCTCCTTGGTCGTCCTCTCCTTCTGGCATTGTCGACTGTAATCGACTCTACCCTCCTAACCGCATCTGACGGTTGTCGCCTAAGTACATGCCCAAAGCACCGTAATCTTCCCTCCCTCAATTTTTCGGATACAAGCACCACCCCCAAGGACATCCTAATTGCAGAGTTTGGTGTCATGTCCCACAGAGTCCTACCACATGCCTATCGAAGCATTCTCATTTCTGCGGCCTCCATCCTCCTTACGTGATCCTTTTTTATTGCCCAAATTCTGATCCATACAGCAGCGCTGATCTTATTTCCATTCTATAAAATTTTTCCTTAAGTTTTAGAGGCACCTTCTTGTCACACAAAACTCCAGTAGTAGCCCTCCACTTTAGCCATTCCGCCTTTATACGGTGTGTAACGTCATCATCTACACCCTCATCTTTATGTATCATAGACCCTAGGTACTTGAAACAATCTTTTGAGGGGAGAACGTGTCCTTCTATGCATACTTCTACATCTTCATCGTTTTGGCTCCCACTGAAGTTTGAACATAAATAATATGTCTTTTCAATATTGATCCTTAGACCTTTTTCTTACAAAGCAGTCTTCCAGGTAGCCAGTCTACTATTCAGCACAGTTTTTGTTTCAGCAACTAGGACAATGTCGTCAGCGAAAAGCATACACCATGGAACACCGTCTAGTGTCACACAATAGATGTGATCCATAATCAAGGTGAAGATGTAAGGGCTAAGAGATTACCCCTGGTGGAGTTTGATTTCCACCGGGAATGCCTCGGTGTTACCAACTGTGGTCCTGACGTATGTAGTAGATTTACAGTACATATCACAAATCGCCCGGATATAAGCAGTTGGGATCCGTCTCATTTCCAAGGTCTTCCAGATCGTATCACGGGGAACGCTATCATACGCCTTCTCAAGGTCAATGAACGCCATGTGAAGATCTCTATTTTTTCCCTATATTTCTCCATAAACCGTCGAAGTAGATGGATCGCCTCCGTAGTAGACCTGTCTGGCATAAAGCCAAATTGGTTTTCAGAAACCCTAGTAGCATGTCTCAACCTAGCCTCTATCACCCTTTCCCATAGCTTCATGGTATGACTGAGTAGTTTAATACCTCTGTAGTTACCACAACGTTAGGGATCTCCTTTATTCTTATAGATTGGTATCACCGTAGACTCTCTCCACTCCTCTGGCATCTTGGCAGTATCTAAAATAATATTAAAGATGTTGGACAATCACTTAACTCCCTCTTCTCCTAGGGACAACCACACAGTGATAGGAATTTGATCTGGACCAAAAGCTAAAGGACAACTTGTGGGGTGTACACTAAAAGGACATTCACCACTCCCGCTTCTATAATAACCTTAATCATCATGATCCTATCATTGTATCTACAAACTTCAACTGCATTTTCCTTGAGTCTAGAGGATACCAAGATACCCACCCCATTTCTAGCGTTATCTACGCCTGAATACCACAACTTGTACCCATTACACTCTCTAGCGCGAGCCCTTTTCCACCTAGTCTCTTGAACACATGCAAAATCTATTTTCCTATTACTTAGTACGTCGGTCAGCTCCAGCAGCCTAGCATTTAATGTGCCTAAATTCAACGTACAAACTCTAAGTCTAGTCTCCTTGACACCACTCTGTCGAGCCCTCCCCTTATACGCCCTATGGGCTCTAAAAGACGGACATAACCTCAAGTAATCATCTATAGCCGAAGCTATGAGGAACTATGAAAAAGGAATCCAAAGAAGACAGAAGATGCACCAATAAAACACTAGAATAATATTAATTTTATCTGCTAACAATAATTTTAAGTATTATAGTACTGTTTGTTATTAAGTGAACAAGTTTAGATATTACTAGTTCTCTTGTGACAGACAAGTTTAAGATTATGGGAGAAAGGATGAAAAATTGAGTTGATGCATGTTAAGTGTGTAGATTAATTGTATGTAAGATATGTTGTATACCGTGGGATTCCCACCTCGATTTAGTTTCTATGTGCTTATATTGAATCCCGAAATTATCTGATTCTCTTACCAGGCTGCTGGCATTTCAAAGAATCTTGCCCCAACTATTGGTATTGCAGTTGATCATCGCCGTAAGAACAGATCCCTTGAAGGTCTTCAGGCCAATGTTCAGAGGCTTAAGACCTATAAGGCCAAGCTTGTTGTCTTCCCAAGGCGCGCTCGCAAGTTCAAGGTAAATTTGTAGGCCTTACTTGCAGAGGTTAAAGCATTAAATCCACAATTCTTTTTTTAGATTTTCCAATATTGTTTATTTCTTATTCCAATAGGCTGGTGATTCTACTGTTGAGGAGCTTGCAACTTCAGCTCAAGTCCAAGGACCATACATGCCTATTTCTCTTGAGAAGCCTTATGTTGAGCTTGTGAAGGTCACTGAGGAAATGAAGTCGTTCAAGGCATACAACAAGCTCCGTGTTGAACGTATGAATGAGTGTCATATTGGTGCTAGGTTGAAGAAGGCTGCTGAAGCTGAGAAAGAAGATAAGAAGTAAGGTTGATCTATTGAGTGCTGTGTCTTTTGGGCTTGTTAAAAGACTTAAGTTTTTGTTTTCATATTGCCAAACTAAGACAGCTCTAGAAAACTCTGGTATAGGACAGTATCTTGTTTTTCTGATTATTTTTATCATAATGAGAAGTTTCTTGCAACTACTGTTTTGGCATTACGAAAGAGTTGGTAAGTTGATTAATTTTGCTCATAATTTGGCGATGGTTAATTGCCTTGTTTTACTGCGAAATGAATTTTGGATTGATTTGGTTAGAATTCTGTCACCTAGTATTTTCCCAAGCCTCCCTCAACATCAACCTAGTCCACTAAAAATGGTCTCAGCTCTCCAAAACGTGTACTGTACCAACCCATTTATGCACTCCCTGTGCTGAATCCACCGCTGGCCTTTTGCTTCTCTGTGTCTGGTGTGTCACGGTCCGGTGGAGGTGGTGGTGTCTGGTGTGTCACGGACCCCTAGTCAATAATCCAAGCATCCATGGATTATTCATATGGTTCTGGTGCGGATTGTAAGTCGATTCAACACAACCAAGCCTTGTTTTCATTCAACCCATCACGTTGATTTCGCATGCTTTCAACAGATACTGGCAAAACATAAAGGGGAATGGTGGCACTTGTGACTTTGGACCCATTGCCATGCTCCTAGTGTCTTTCTGACTGTATCTTGCGACAAGCAAACATAAATGTTTTTTTGGACGACTTTTGTAATTATGCAAATTTGACGTGTTTCGATACAACCCAAGGGGTTCTGAACCTGCTCTTTTGATATATGTGATTCTATGAACCTGAAAGAGTTTACAGTATTGGATGTATTATATAGTATATTCATACCGGCTCATTTATGTATTATGTCATATTATAAAGGGGAAAATCGCCAGTATTTTGAGGACACAAAATAAATGTGTAGATTTGTTTCTGAATATTATTGGGATAAGATCTATTACATAGTATACTTTTTCTTAGTTTTATACCTATTAAGAATTGTTAGATGAATGAAAATAGACGTTGAGATTAATTGTAAAAAAAGAGAAGATATTCACTAAAAAATAAAAAATTAGTCTCAACTAAAATTTAAAGATCGTTAAATGAGTAAAAATAGATAGTTGAGATTAATTGTAAAAAATGAAATATATATTCACTAAAAAACCAAAAATTAACTTCAACTTTTTAGTGTATAAGTTCATATATATGAAGAAAAAAAAAGCAAAATGATTTAGAGCTAGATTCATGGGCATCGAGATCTTCTTTAATAAAAATGATGTAGGGTCCATATTCGAGAAGCAAAAATGGATTGATCAGAAAATTTTGGTCGATTTTGATTAGGTAAGGTAAAAATACATGAATTTGACGGGTCTCGACTCGATCTTATAATGGTGCTTTTTTTTTAATTTCATGGCTCAAGCGAGGCAGATTATTGTAGACACTCATTTTTACCCGGGGCCCGACTACAAACAACATCTCAGGTCCGATACAGTTGTTCAGACCAAGCCCAAAAATAAAGTCCGTTAGTGAGACCAAAAATGATGTTGGCCACCCACTACAGCTACCAACACCATGCCCTGCTATCTGTTGACTCTGTTACACACCACCACTGCCCATACCTCCACGAGAGCAGAAGCACGACCACCATCTCCCCCAAATCACGGTACCACCAACTGCATCAACCAAATCAACGAGCAATTTTTTTATTTTTATCCTTGACAGTGTAATGGGTATATAACCTGAAAATAACAATGTAAACAAACACATTATTAGGAATAAAAAACATAACCAAAAATTAAAAGTAAAAAGGTATTCTAGCCACTGGTTTTTCGTTCTTGTTATGTATGTATGTTAGATCATTCGAAATGACAAAAAAATGATAAGAGGGAAAAGGGTTAAGACTTAGCTTGTTGTCGAGGGGTTCGGTCGAGGCCAAGGGTATCGTCGGGAGATAGATACGGGTTGGGCTAGATTGGTTTAGGTCGCGGCGCCACCACTCGTGGTGGTCTGCCTTGTGATTTGGACCTCTCGATCAAAGAGAATGGTTGGATTTACGCCTTGTTTCGTTGGGGAGGGTCGTCGAGTGAAAGATTTCCAACGCCTTGTTAGGTGTTGGCCGAGAGGAAATCGGCCACCCATATCCGATTGCCGAAACGTCGCATGCCTGGGGACTTTAGGAGTCGGTCGTCGTGGGTGTTGTGAGGGGAGAGAGTTGAGTTGAAATAAAATAGATTTTAGGGTTTTGTTGGCAAAAGTGTTTGAATAATGCAATGGAAAAAAAATTCTTCACATAGTACAATCGAATAATTATTTGCTTAAGTAGGGTGATTGCTACAGTGATCACCATAGGTCTCCAGGACCACATGGCGACCTCCAAAGGTCTCCAGGAGCACACGGCGACCTATGGAGCACTTGGTGACCTATGGAAATGCAACAGCGAGGGAAGAGAGAAGAGTTGCTGCAACTGAGGAAGCTTTGTCGCAAGGAGCACTTGCCGACCTATGGAACACTTGACGACTAATGAGGTCACTGTAGCAAACACCCCAGTTCAAGAAATAATTTGGGTAGAGCCCTATATGAGGAAAAAATTTCCAACGCCCTACATAGGCGAGGAAGTCGGGTTTTGTTATTTTCGGTTGAAGAAGGGAAGGGATATAAGTCTTTATTTTTTTTGGGTAAATCACGCTAAGGTCCCTAGACCTTATTTAAGTAAAAATGAATTAATCAAATTTATAAGTATTAATTTTCATTTAAATTTTATTTATTTATTTATTTATTTTGAGTTGTGTCTGGTGAAATCAAATAGATTTCTTTAAATTTTTATTCAAATTTAAATGTAATTATCTTTAATGTTATAATTTCAATTTAAATTATTTTCTCTAACCATATCCAAAATACATATAGATTATTTTCATATTTTTAACATCGATAAATAAGTTAGTAATTTTATTTAATTATTTAAATATCAATTAAAAATTTATTATATATTTATAATATACTTTTTCAAAGAATATATATTGAGAAGAAAGTATTGATAGGTGTCAAAAATTGATTAAATAAATAAAATGTTGTAATAAGATGATAAAATTAAATAAAATACAAAGTTAAATAGAATAAGTTGAAAAAAAAATATTATCAAAAAGAGAAATTAAAGTTTCAAAAGTATTTATAATGATTAAAGAAATATAATTATCAAAAATAAACTTAAAATAAAGGATAAATTAAAAATTAGAAAATCATATGCCAATTATTAAAAAATAAAATTAATTATCTAATGACCAAAAGATATCGTTTCAGTTTTTTATTTTCATATTTTTCGAATATTCGAATTTATATAAATTCAAACTCAACTCACACTAATAATTTAATTAATTCAACTAAATTTCAAATTGAATTGAACAACTCGAAATTTAAAAACAATTAATACTTTCGAGTCAAATCATCGTATTGTTAGAGATTAATTGTTTTTAAGAAATTTAAGAAATTTGAACTTAGATCATCGTTTCATAATACATTCAAGGAAGGAAGACAGACGACCAGCACAGGATACAAGGGATGAAATAATACAAAATACGTGGACCAATCAAAACTAGAAAACAAGGCAACCAAGACTCAATAATATAATAAAGAACTCGAATTGCTCCCACACATTAGAAGGTTAATCACATTCATCTACTTTTGCAGGTATTGAAAGATTGCTTTCTGACATAAATGAAAGATCATGCATTTGTGACATCAATCTCTCTAGTTCATCACTTTTTGAACCTGTTGATGCTGTTGCATTAGAGACATCACCATCTTTTGCACCTTCACCTTCACTACTGCTTCTTGCATTTGCATCACCCATCCTGAAACATGTGAATGCACATATTAGAAATTTCTCCTCTCTCGGCAAGTGTTGGAAATAAAAATACTAAACAAATACTACCTTGTAATGACTCCAAACTATTAGAAAAAAAAATAGTCGGAAACAAGCATGTTAATACTCGATTTTTTCTAAGTTTTCCCATATATGTGGAGAATCATTTTCATGAACCTTTGTCCAAAATATGTATCGGACAAAAATATGGAACATGGAGACTTGAGAAAAATAGAGGGATCTAGACAGCATTAATCTAATATGTAAACTAAAAAATGTGAAAAATTATGTCTATTCATAGTTAGGCTTTGTCAAAAGTTCTAGTTACTCCCTGGTTCTTCCCATAATATTCTCTCAAATATTCCCAACAACAACAATAAAATAATTGACTTGAAACTAGACATTGTATTTGCCATAATGAAGTAGAAAATGCCAGAACCAAAATGCAAGTAAAAAATCAGTTCTATAGGGAGTAAAATGACAGAACAAGTGTACACACCAGTCTGAAAGAGGAGCTGCAGACCAGAAAATATCAGTTTCGGTCGAGCCATTTTAATTGCTGAATGCCCCTGAAAAGAAATCATGTTGTGATAAACTACCGAAATTGTTAATGCCTGAAGTTTCAAGGGAAGACATTTCTTGATGGACAGCAGTTTGTTCTACAGAAATACTTGAAGGGTCTCACTCTAGCTGAGCTTGAAAAATCATTCCAGGCAGCGGACAAGCTGTTATTATCATCAATGGTCTGATTATCAGTTCTAACAGCTTGTTTCGAAGAATTACTAAGAGAATCTTGCTTAGTAGTTCAGCTTTAGAAGTCAAACCAATCACCAAACGAATCATCTGGTTCATCAATAGGTTTCGCATCAGATGCCTTCAGGTTACCTGTTAACCATTGATCATCAGGAAACCAATCAACACCCATCGAGGGGGGATCATGCACGACCCTAGCTGTTCCAGAATCCATAATGTTACCAGTTTCATCCAAGTTTTCAGCTTGCTGAGTTAAATTTGAGGTAAAATTAGACCATAGATCATCCTGAAACCACTTGTTTGCATCAGAAGCATTAGAGCTATCTTTTGCTTTCCCATCAAATAAATCTTTTCCCGATGCAAAGACAGTATCAACATGATCAGAAAGATCTACCGAGGAACCCACAAAAGGATCAGATGATTTGGACCCCACATGATTATTTTCTGAATTAGTAGACTGAAACTCAGGGTTCCATCTAGAAAAAGGGTCGCTACTCTTTACTTCAGTAGTAGTAGCATGGATAGCATGTTCAGTCGAACAAACCAATTGAAGAATTCAGGACACTTGAGCTTTTAAAATCATTCCAAGCTCCAAATGAATCATCATCTTCATCATTGGTTCCACTGTCAACTGCTTCGACTTTACCCAATGGCCATTGATCATCTTGAATTTTGTTTAGGCTCACAGAAGAATTATTTATATTTGCTAATGTACTCCTGCCCTCCTTATCACCCACATTCTCATCAGATTGCTCAGTATGATGAACCGTCTTTGAGGTGGAACTACCCCATAGATCATCCTGAAACCAATTAGTACTGTGTGATGAAATTGTGCTATCTACTGCTTTTCCCTCAAAGAAGTCTCCTGTTCCAAAGACACTATCCAAGTGAGTAGAAAGATCGGCAGAAGAACCTGCAAAACGATCCAAAGATTTGGATTCCTCATGGTGAGTTTCAAAAATAGTAGATTCAGATCCAGCCCCCAATCAAGAAAAAGAATCACTACCCTCTTCATGTATTGACTTCAAACCACCAGAAGTCTGGTCCGAAGAACTCTGAGCAACATCTTGTGCAATGGTGGAACCCTTAAAATCATTCCAGTCATCAAAGGAATTGTCATCGATGTCAATAGTCCTGTCACGGGGGGCGTTGCTGGTACTGCTTTGTGCTTGATCACTGGAAATGGAATTACTCTTTAAATCACCTTGAAACCAGTCTGGTGTTTTGGAATCCAAAGAAGTTTGATTGCTTTTTTCTTTTCCATCAAATAAACTAGTACCCTGTCCGAAGACCATGCCCATGTTGGAAGAAATATCTTTTGAGGAACTCACATAAGGATCAAACGACAGAGAGCTAATTGCACCTTGATCAGCTCTAGAATCGGAAGACTGAAAGTCAGCCTGCCAACCAGAGACCGAACCCTGAAAATTGGCAGTAGAATCAATCCCTTTCTTTACCGGCAGTGCCCCTTCAGAGGGAATCGGATCAGAATCTTCTTTCCTTTCAGCTAAAAAATCATTACCAAGATCAAGTCCGTCTAAATTCAACGGATTACTTTCTTAAACCAGAATCAAACTCCTCCGGCTCTGAATCATTCCACCTTATTTCTAAACCTAAAATATCAGATAAAGCAGACTCCTCTCTACGCTCTTTATCCCTTCCATTCCCGTCTAAAGACTCTCCCACAATTTCCTACAACACCCATTTTTATTTAATTACGAAACTTCAAAACAACAACTAAAATCCGTCATTCTTTTATGATAATATAAGAACATAAACAAATAAAAAAAAGTGACTTACAGATCCATCCAAGTTAAGAGAGTGAAGAAACCATCTGTAACCCGAAGTGGACTGGAATTTGATGGGCGGAGGCGGCGTCTCAGTGGGGAGTTTGCCGCAAAAAATGCAAAGGAGGAAGTCGGAGCCTCGAAGGAGACGGGCCTTGCAGTGGTGGCAGCGGAGGCGGGGAGAGCGATCGACCGAGTGAAGGAAGGAAGGGAGACCGGGAAGCGATGGGTCGTTGGGATCGTAGGAAGGCACGTTGGCTTGCTTGTGAAGTGAGATCTGGAGTTGGGTTATTAAATCCTTTGATATTCCCACCGCCATTTTTCTTCTGAATTAACGATCTTTTTTCTAGTTTATCGGCTTTGTGTCATGTCTGATCTCATCGGCATCGCTTTATCATTCGAATGGCGAGCCGATGAATGACGACCGAGGGTGGGGAAGAATTGATTAGCAACTCAACGGTGCCGTTTTATAACTGGTTTTCGTTCCCAGTTTTCGGTTTAATTGGGTGTTTAGGTGTCGGCCCATGTTCTATTTTGATACTATAATCGAATCAAATAGTTAAACTTTAAATTTATTTATTGGATCTAATCTAATCAAACATTCATTTTAAAATGATATACGGATTTTAATTTAATATGATTTTAATTAAATTTTAAAAATACTGAAGTTAAGTAATTAAAACAGAAATAATGAAAAAGTTAAGCAACTAATCAATGAGTTAATTCAAGTATTAAATAATTTGATATTGTTTAAGTAAGATTTTGTTTAGAGTCATTAGATATGTAAAAAAAATCATTGAGAAACTTGTGTATTAAGACTAGATGTGCGATACGGGTTGATTCGAATTAATCAGAATAAAATTCTAAAATAGATTTTTCTTTAAAAATTAGATTGGGGCTGAGTTAAATTTAGTGTGCTTTTTTTTTTAGTTTCAGTCGAAATTAGATGTAAAATAAGAAAGTCATCAATTTGATTCGAGCTCAAATATTATTAATTATGTTATATAATTCAACTATTTGCAAAATTACTACAACAACAATAAAACCCTATTTCCATGTGCAATGGGGTAAGAGGGAGGTAGGTTAATAGGTTGCCCCCAACACCAAATTGAGAGTAGCTTCCGTGGAAGATCTCCGGCAGTCAAAAAATTAAAAATAAAGATAAAATACCATGCATGTATAAATAAAATAAATAAAAACATAGTTGAACAGTATTCATATGCAGTCATTCATATGCGCATCTGTAATGGGAAGTAATCTCCGCCAATAAATCATTGCGTAAAAATATCTGCATATAGACAAAAATACTACTACACTATATATAATTATTTAGGATTTCTTTCATCTTATTTTTCTTCTTATACAACCGTTAAGCTTTTGTTTTCCTCTTTATTTTCTCCCTCAAATCTTATGGTCGGAATGAATTTAGAACCAAGAATACGAGTTACGGTGTCCTTGGCTCCTTACCAAGGGCAGTTGTTCAACCAATTATCATCTTAATTCATTTAAAAAAGATTCTATTCAGATCTTATTTCTAGATATCTTCTTGTACTTAAATAAATTTGATCATAAAGGAGAATGCTCCAGCCATGATCTACTTACCCTCAATCCTTTTACAATTTGAGAAGCAGAGAGATCCCTTCCCATTTTTAGTTCCAGAAGCATTTGTTATTTTTGAGATTTTTCTTCTGATTATTTCTTTTAAACTTTTTCTTCAATAATATATATATTCCTTGATAAAAGAATTGTTGATATTCTTTGAGGACCCGAGTTTGAGCATCATATATATTAGGAGTGTCAACATTTAATGTCACATAAGTTTGAGTGAATTAACAACTAATTGATCTAGTGAGATTAGATATTATATTCCTTAAGCAAGGATAGAGTTCAAATCTCGGAATTGTGAATATTGAAAACTATCTCTCAAATATATATTTATATTTTATTTTTAAATTAAATATTATTATTAAAATCAGATTATAATTATAATCTCATTATATTAAATTAAAATGGGAATATATAGAAATCCAACCAAACTCACTGTTCTCAAAGGCCTTGCCGGTAATAAAAAAAAAGATTTAATATACAAAAGGTACCCAACGTATGCTCATTTTTTCAGTTCAGTACCTAAGGTGTTTTTCGTTCTAGTTTGGTGTCTAACGTTACATTCCGTAACTCATAATGAGTCAAGTTGTGACGGACCGTTAATTTTCTCCATTAAGTGACATATGTCACAATATGATAATTTAAAAAATTTCTTTTTAAAAAAAATATTAAAAATATTATTATATTTATAAATAAAACCCCTTATTTTTTTAAAATTACAAAAAAACTCAAATCTTAACACCGAAGCTTACCCACGACTGCAGACAGTGACTATGATGTGACCCACCAGTTGGGTTTTGAGCGGACGACGAAGAGGAATCTAAAAATAGTGGCGGTGAGGCGAACGGAGGTTTGAGGCGGTTGTAATCGTCCAAAATCCGAGGCGTCGGGTGGGTTTTTGGCGAAACTTCAAGGATTCGTTTCCGGTGAACGGAGACGACTATCCACGAATTATTTTGGGGGCTTTGATCAGGGCGGCGAGGCGCTTTGACTGGGTTGGGCAGTGACAGGAACGGAGGAGCGACGACGGCGGTCGGCGTGGTTTAGGGGTTGAAATGAAGGTTTTTTAAGTTTTGAAATTATTTCGAAATTAATGTATTTTTTATTTTAAAAAATATATAATTTTTGGATTAAAATCCACGGTTCATCGCTCGACAGAAAAGAGAACAGCTAAGTGGGATCTTGCACCTTCAGAAACAAAAAATGTGGTTTCTGATTCAGCTTCTTTTAATTTACAAGCATCAAGTCAAATGGTTTCCTTAAACAAGCATGCTATAGTCAATCCTGTTCCCAGTGTTTCAGCAACAAGGAAGCCTCTAGTTGTGGCTTCAACCAGTTCTTTATCCTTTGACTCAGTTCAACTGACAGAAGCTACCGGGCCTAAGGGTTGTCTCAGAAAAGTCGGGCTAATATACGGCTAATATATGACGTTACCGGATACATTAAAAGATATTTAATAAATTCGGTTTAGCGCTACCGGAAATGTTGAGTAATAATAATGTAGTAGGTCTAAATCATAAAGAAATATTAAAAAATTTGGCAACCGACAAACTTAGCTTGTCGGTTTATGTCGATACTTTATAAAAATGTATCGATCCATATCAATATAACATGTAAAAATATGACAAAATCGGTCTCAAAAAGACAAAAGCGGTAAAGTGTTACCGGATATATTAAAAGTGTCGATACTTTATATAAGTATCGACACTTTGTGAATTTAAAAGAGAAGCAGTTTTTGTGCCTATAAAGTGTCGATATTTATAACAATGTATCGATCTACAACGATATAACAGGTAAAAATATGACAAAATCAGTCTCAAAAGGACAAAATCGGTATAGAGCTACCGGATATATTGAAAGTGTCGATACTTTAATATAAGTATCGACATTTTGTGAATTTAAAAGAGAAGCAGTTTTAGCGCCTATAAAGTGTTGATACTTTATAACAATGTATCGATCCACAACGATATAACAGGTAAAAATATGACAAAACCGGTCTCGAAATGACAAAACCGGTATAGAGCTATCGGATATATTGAAAGTGTCGATACTTTAATATAAGTATCGACACTTTGTAAATTTAAAAGATAAACAGTTTTTACGCCTATAAAGTGTCGATACTTTATAACAATGTATCGATCCACAACGATATAACATATAAAAATATGACAAAACCGATCTCGAAAGGAAAAACCGGTATAGAGCTACCGGATATATTGAAAGTGTCGATACTTTAATAAGTACGCGTAATAAAGTATTGATACTTTCAAAAAAATAAGTAATTATACTATCGAAAGTATCAACACCTGATATAAAAGTATCGACACTTTGATAGTTGTATCGATTAATTATAAATAACATATACGGGGAAAATATAAATGGCATCCTTTGAAAAATAGATATAACGGACGAGTTTTTGAAATCGAAGCGTAATTATTGCTGCATTTCAGAAGGTGTTTCTAAAGCGAAGTTTGTTTGTTTGTTGCTGCAGTCGAATCGAAAAGTATGTTGTCGAAACCCTAGTTTTTTATTATTACAGTAATCGAAAATAGGGTTTTTATGTGTTGTTTGGGGTTTTGGAGTAAATAAGCATTTGAGACCGATTACAGGTAGAAAGTGATATTCTAGGTAAAATATAAATATCGATACTTTTATTAAATATTATAGGTAGAAAATGATATTATAGGTTGTATAAATGTGCTGATACTTGGAGTATTGAGTGTTCTCATTCGTTTGAATGAAATAGGGATTAGGGTTTGATTTGTTGATTATATAATATTATAGGTAGAAAATAAATATAAATACATGTTTATAATATTGTAGGTAGAAAATGATATTGTAGGTTGTATAAATGTGCCGACACTTGTTGTAGTGACCATTCAAATTCTTTTGAAGGAAACCGTTTTACTACAAGAGTAGTTATCGATTTTTGTATATTGAATAAAGTGTATGTAACCAGTATTTGATTTTATTTGCGTAAACTAATATATGAAGGAAAAATAAAGTCAAATGATCTTGGAATTGTTGGTGATGAAGATGACGTTGAAATTGAGGTCGAGATTCGAAAGTAACCAAATGGTGGATATATGTATTTCTAGTAAGTATCAATGTCTTATTGTTATTATTGTTGAAATGGTAATTGGATTAAAGTATTTAAGAACTTTAAATTGATTACAAATTCTAAATGTTGATAGTATGACCGAATGCCAAAGGATGAAGGAATGTGACGAACACATCGGTTCGGTATGTAAATTGAAATTGACATTGAGTATTATTTAGCGTTAATATATTGAATAAGAAATTTTTATGCTTAATATTAGGTGAGAAATGATGTGTTGGAGAAATGGAATTCGATGAGTGATTCTGACAATGAACCTTACATTGCACATTCAAAGATGGATAGTGAAGATTACAAAGAATGGAGGAAAGCACATGAAAAAAAGGTATTCATTAAACTTGTAAATACGTTGATACAAAATATATAAGAACTATAACAATATATATTGTTAAAAATGTAGGAAGTGTCGACAAGGTGCAACATTAAAAAGGTGAATTCATTAATTAAACGCCTTAAAGAGAAGGGCCAGTTGAATGTGCTGGGAGAAATGGGGTTTGGATTATTGGTAGGAGTAAGGGATCGACCTATTCGGAGGGAATTGTGTCGATCATTGATGGAGCAATTTAATGTCGAACAATGTATTGTTAAATATGATGATATTCATTTCCTCTGGGGATATCATGTGCTGCAGCCGTCTTGGGGGTAGGAAATGAAGACAAAACTGTTGTAGAAGTCTCTAAGAGTAAGAAC